CCACTGTGTTTGTCCAGTCGAAGACTTTGTGACGACATGAATCCTTCAGCTAGTCGAATAAAGGCAATTATAAAATATATGTACAATAAAGCTGAATTCAGCTAGCCAAACATTGACAAATTAAATAAAATTTAATAAATAAAGAGTTTTGGTGAATTTGGACTAAGGGAGTTGAGGAACACCTGTTATAGTCAACTTCACACAAGCACTCAAAAATCTCATTTTTAGATCGTTATTTCTGCACTACCTTGACTAGAGGAGTCTACGAAGCTTGAATAAATGGAAGATTTCAGAGAACTGAAACAAAAGTGTTCTAAAGGGTCTAGTAATTGACTATGCCAGTTGTGATATTTTGTCCGCCTCCGATCAAAAATGCCAAACCAAGAAAGAGGGGCATGCCATGATCTTCAAGGTGACCGATTCTATGAAATAAACCTTAGGGTTTAGGCAGCTAACCTCAAAACCAACCTTTTGATCATGATATCTGTTAATGATTTACAGTTATCAAAGATTAAAAGAGCAGTTGATTCTTTTAATATCCAATGAACTCCTATTTATGATTTGTTTCAATTGTGAAACTTAGAAGGAGGCAATATTTATTTCAAAACACTTTTTATTTTTATTTTTAAAATTTTGAAAATCAAAAGGAAGAAAAACATTTTCAAACAAGACAAGTTCTCTGGAAGTATCTTGGAATTCAAGGAATATCTCTCCGAAGCTCTAGATCGAAGCTGGGGAAAATGGAGCCAATTTTTGCAACAAAATTTGATGGGGCAAGGAAATAACTTGTTTTAGGTTGAGGTTTGCAAGAGTACATTCTGGTGGAAAATGAAGACTGTGCAACTATTGCATAAGGGGCGACCGCACAAATCCCTTGATAAGGTATCGCACAACATGAATGAGAACATGAGAGATGGGAGTCGGAGAACACTTCCAATAAATGAGTACATAAGCTACTCCATCAGATCTGTGAACAACAAATAAATGAGAATACCAAACCATTGACAAAAAATAACAACCTGAGACTTTTTTATCATTTCCTTACTTAGCCATACCTCAATGATAACATTAATCTTGACACTTGTCAAATAGCTATAATTTATTGAATGATTAAAAGTTTAATTAATTCTTTGATATCCAATTAGCTCTTGTTTTATGATTTGTCTCAATTGTAAAACCTAGAAAGGGGAAATATTTTCAAAATCTTTGATTAAAATTTTTTCAGAACTCTTTTAACTGATATTTTCAGACTCTTGAAAATAAAAGAAAAAGAAAAACGCTTTTCAAACAAGACAATCTCTCTGGAGTGGATCTTGGTAGTTGACATATGGCTCTCAGAAACGAAGCTCATGCTTAGAATCAGTGCTGAAGCAAGAAATGATGAATGGTGGGGCATCTTTGGAGATTCAACATCAAATGTTGGGACATCTTTGGGGATTCAACATCCTGATGTGAATGATCAGATCTTCTGAAGGCATTTCCTCCACCAGTAGGAACAAACAGACTATCAGTATCCATTGACGTTGTTTCTCTCGAAACAAAGTGTCTTCTCGCTAGAGACAGGTTTCTTAAAAACAAATTTTGTCTCTTGAGACAGTTTATTTTGAAAAAAAAAATCTTTGAGTCTGTTTCTTTGGAAACAAAGTTTTGTCTCTCTTGAGACAATTTCTTTTGATAAAAAAAACTTTGAGTTTGTTTCCTTTGAAACGGGTTTAGTCTCTCTTGAGACATTTTCTCTTAAATGACCTATCTTTGAGTCTGATTCCCTTGAAACAAAACAAACATCTTTGAGATCGTTTCCCTTTTTGTCTCTCTTGAGATAGCTTCTCTTGAAGCATCATATTTGAGTCGGTTTCTCTTGAAACCAAAATCTCTAAAGATGGCATGTCGTCCTCATCACGTAAAAACCGTGTCATCCCCCGACCAGACTTCCTCATCACGTAGGAGCCATGTCACCCTTGATAACCAGTCGTCCTCATCATTTAGGACCCGTGTTATTATTCCTAAAGATGGCATGTCGTCCTCATCACATAGGAACCATGTCATTCCCTGACCAGACCTCCTTATCATGTAAGAGTCGTGTCACCCCTGATAACTAGTTATCCTCATCACGTAGGAACCTGTTATCATCCCTAAAGATGGCCAGTCGCCATCATCACGTAGGAACTGTGTCATCCCCCGACTAGACCTCCTCATAATGTAGAAGCCGTGTCACCACTAGATAACCAGCCGTCCTCATCGTGTAGGAACCGTGTTATCACCCTTCCTAAAGATGGCCAGAACTCTTCATCACGTATGAGTTGTGTCATCCACCGACCAGATCTCCTCATCACGTAGGAGCCATGTCACCCTTAGACGACCAAACCTCTTCATCACATATGAGCAGTGTTGTCCCCAACACCAAACACTATCAATTTTCAAAACCAAAATAAGAGAATCGGACAAAAACTTGTTATCTTTTTCGTCTTTGCCCTATCTTGTTAACATAAGAATGTGCAAGGACGGGAAGCTGTAGATACTCATTTTTTATCCGGGTCTCGAAAAAATTATTAATTATATTATTATTAATATTATTAATTAACTAATTTATATTTTTTGTAAGCCCTCATCCAAGCCCGGATTGCAAGCTCACCAATCAACCCCAATACACCATTTTAGAGAGAGAACCGAGGAGAGAAAAAATAATAGAGAGTATTTGAGGTTTTAAAAAAACAAAAAAAGAAAGGGTGAGAAAAGAGGGGATTTACCTTGAGTTTAGAGTATCTTCCGTTGTGGGCTTCACTGAGACCAAAGCAAGCCACCATATCAAAGGTAAAACACCTTTTATCCTTTTGAAAGAGGGGTGTTTCGTGAGTTTTTTGGGGTTTAAAGAAGAGAGTTTGAGTTTTTTTTTGGGTTTTTAGGATAGAGGAGAAAAAAAGGGGATTCCTAGAGGCGTTTTACTCTCCATGGCCTTCGATCTACAGTGGCCGGGGAGTGGTGGTTTCTTCTATCTACGACGGAGAACAAATAGAGATGAGAGGGGTGAATTCGAGAGCGTTTTGGCTATCTGGTTTTTGAAGAGAAATAAGAGGGAATGAGAAAATGAAACTTTGGCCTTAGTTTGGGCTTTAAATACCAAACGAAAAACGACACCGTTTAGGGGGGTATGTTTGTAATTTTAGCGTGGGTAAATTACCTTTGGGGGGGTCTCCGTGTTTTGGAAAGTTCGTTTATGAGTACTTATTGTAGTTTATTTATGTTATATTTCGTGCACCATGTTTGTAAAGTTTGTATTTTGGTCACTAGGATATATGTTGTTAATATTTTGTAAAGTTGTACATTATACTCAGCATTTATAAAAATTTTATTTTGATCACTGCTTCTGTATTTTGGGTTAAATTTTGAATATGGCCTGTTTGTTTACTTTCATTACATTTTAGTTCTTTATTTACTATATAAAAAATGGAAATTTACATATCTAGTCCATGAGGTATACTTTAGTCACTGTTTGACATTTGGGTTAATTATTGTTTGGTCCTATATGTTTCTATTCATTTTATTTTGGTCCCTAATATTATTTTAGGTTATTTGCATTTATAGTACATATACTATTTAATATTTTGTTTGTAGCTCTGGATTATTTTTATTTTCTATTTAGTCCCTTAAGTTTTTATTTTTCCTATTTTAGTCCTTTAAATGTCTATTTTTGCTATATTAGTCCCTTAAGTTTTTGTTTTTACTATTTTAGTCCTTTAAATGCCTTTTTTACTATTTTAGTCCCTTAAGTTTCTATTTTTACTATTCTAGTTCTTTAAGTTCCTATTTTTGCTATTTTAGTCCCTTAAATCATTAAATGAGCTTATTTGTATTGTTTTTATTTTAATCTGTAATATTTTCTAATATGTATTTTAGTCCTTTATATTGAACATTTATTTTGCGTAATACATAGTTATTCGTATTGTATTTAATAAATATGTTTAGCTCCATTTAATCTAAATATTTTATTTTGTATATTTCCAGATGCATTTATTTCCATCTGTATTTTTCAATTTATTGATGAATTTACTCGAATGTTTGTTCAAGAACGTTATTTGTAGAATGGGCGTGGAAAGCACCATTTGATCGAAGTGATATAATCCAATATGACATTCGAACCAAATACGAACATGAAATAAATCAATTTTATTTTGCTAATTATTAATTCATTTCATTTTAAGTCGAATATTGCAATGAATGTCTCTAAATAAATTTATTTCATTTCATGCAAATTGTCGATCTTCATTCTACATTTTATATTCGATTCACTTTTTTTAGTTAATCAATTTATTTTGTTGTATGTAAACATTGATTTTTATATTCGATTCATATATTTATCAATGTGGTAATATTTGTTTACAGATAAGAAATATTCGAAATAGCTTTCCCGGCGGAGGATTGCTAATTTTGAGATTTCTTTTCAAGTTAAAGAATTTTCTTTAATTAATTGATTCAAACCAAATTAATTAACTTTAATAAAGGGATCATATTTTAACTTTATATTTGATTCATGATTTCCACCATTTACGATAACGTGTAAGCGACACAATACCAATTTTGGGCGCTGTGGGGGTGTTAATCTTTTTCCACGCGTAACTGACTCTCGAACCCGTTTTAATCGAATCTTTGTAAATGCAGACCATCAATTTGTCTTAAAAACGATTTTCTTAAAATAGTTTTTAAAAGACGTTTTTAGGTATTCAATCTACCTAACCCAAAGGTCGATTGCAACTCTATTCAATTTAATTAAAATTAATCCAAAATCCACCCATTTTCCAAAATAAAAAATCATAATCATTTTTAAAATAATAATTAATTGTTTTTTTTTTAAAAATGGTTATGGCACATCTTATGTTTTTCTCTTTTTACTGATAAATAGAATGTTATTTCCCATAAAATCCCTTACCCTGTAATTGTACCTCCGAGTGCAAAGACATTCAACATTCATTACTAGAATAGGCAACAAATTCTTCATATTGCAGTGGGCAGCAGCAATTGAAAGCTCGGACTTTGGAAGCCCTGGATCAGATAAGAGCTTTGGCCTGAAGCAAAGACCTGATGGTGACATTGAGATCCTAAAACCTGATTTAAGATACTTTCATTATATGAAACCCGATGTATAGTACACTGCTTTATGAATAATTGGCATTTAGGGAGTTTTATGATGCTTATATTTCCTATTCCCCAACCATCCTTTTTGTAATTTCTTTTCAGTAACTTATTATGAATATAGAACATAATGAATATTGGGTATTTGATTTTAAGTATTTAGAGATTCAAAATGGGTTCCCAACTAAAGATGGCACCGGGATGGGTTTTTGGTCAACCTAACCCGACCCAAAAATATGCACCCTTCACCCAACACGAAAATTTTATATCCTCCTTCTGACCTGATCTGATCCGAAAAATATATATCATCCACCCAACTCCGACTTGACCCGATTTTTAGAGTATAAATCCAACTCGACCCAATCCGACCCGATATAAAATAGAGACTTCATTAAAAAAATAATAAATATTTTAAGAAAATTATATTATTATCCTCGGATCAGATCGAGTCGGAGTTTTTTCACCGTTCACCCGAACCTGACTTGAACACAAAATTCTTTTAAAAAATCCGACCTATCAAGTTGGGTCGAAATCTGTCGAATTCATGATAAATTCTCATTTTTATTCCCAACTAAAAAGACTTCATAGAACCATGAGTGTAGTCCCAAGCATTCATGGTAATGATGGTCTAGTACATGACTGTGGCCCAAATATCAAGGAATCCAGTATGCCTAGGTTCTTTGAGACATGAGGTTACTTTTATGAGACATGCAATTTTTCAATATAAAAATAGATACGTTTTGTTAAATTTTAAAAGATTTTTTCTTTTAGATAAACATTGAAATACAATGAACTCCCTTGTTTTATAAACATTATTGTTTCTTTAGATTAATTCTAGTAATTTCCTCATCTAAGTTGGGTGTCATTTAGCATTTGATATCTATTAGGAATTTGACTCAAAATCTAATTGAAAGATTTACTTGAGTTTTTAATTTATTTTTATTTGCTAAAAATTAGTTGGTGGTTAAGTTTATTTACTGTGATTGATATTCTTAATAAGTAGGAAACCCCGGCAAAAAAGATTTCTTGGTGATTAAATAATTGTTCTATAAATATGGAATAAGGTTTAGCTTTTAGAATTTAAAAGTTTGGATAGATGCAACAGTTCTATTTGTGCAAAACTTACATGATATTGTGAGGAGGGTTTTAGTGGAGTGATATTTTATCATTTTGGGATTGAAAACATGGGCTAGTGGGATCGAATTTATATTTTTCTTGATCTTGTGATGATTACGTTTTTTTATCACAAATTTCCAACAATATCTTTTCAATTATAGGTTTTATTATTTGCATAAATGTATAAGGCTTTAAAACGATTGAGATGAACAAGAAATCATGTCAAGTAGATTAAGTTTCTTGACGTAGTCTCTTTATAGACATGGTTTTGTGTGAAATTAAGTTGTTTGCATTAAAATTCTTGATTTTATCGATTATTTACTCCACTGTAGTGTTCTGATACAGATAACTGAATTCTAATGTCCAGAGCTTATTTAACTTTTTGTCATTTTCTTTCTACACATGTGCCTATACTTCTCTTGCCCATATATACTTTTAGGATCCGAAATGCAGCTTGAATGCTCTTTAACTGAAAGGAAAAATGTCCCTTCAAAGGAAGTTGGTTATTTTGGTGAAGAAGATCATCTTCAGCTGGCTTTAACTTTTATATTTTCAGATAGTTGCAAGTAGTTTGATATAAATAGTGTAATCACCAATTTTCACCAAATATATGTATTATTATTATTATTAATAAAATAAAAATCAAGGCGGCCATATCCTATTGCCACCAACTCTGCTGCTGCCACCATAATGCCCTGCCCCAAGCAAGAAGGTTGCTGCTCCACGCCACTCAGTCCCTTTCCTTCAATTTACCAACTCAGGAGTAAGTTACAAAATACAAAGCAATGTCAGTATTTTCCCCCCATCATTTTTTAGGGCTAATGCCTATTGTAATATGGGTATAAAACCAAATTAAACACAATTGTAAAGGGAGATTTTTCAGATTAAAACAAAATATCAATACAAGCAAATAGAAGGTTCTCTATCATCTTTATCGTTCATTTTCTAGTATTTAATTTGCTTATTTATTTACTATTTTCAAACATAAAAGAGGAGAAGAGGATATCTTACCCTTGGTTGGGGTTTTTGGTCAAGCAAGGATAGGAGGAGGAGATGTGTTTTAGGGTTTAGGTTTTAGTTTAGGTGGGGTTTTGGTCTTTTCCGTTGTCGTTGGTGGCTACCGAAGAGAGGCAGCTCCGTTAATCAGAGTTGGAGCGGTGGCGTTGGGTTTGGGTAGTGCTAGGTCGATGAGAAATAGGGGAAAGCCTTTGGAGATCGTGGGATGTCGCCGGTCTTCTTCTGACCGTTAGGGGGTTGAATTAGAGTGAACCGACCTCTAAACCAGGTGGCTGGAGCGTCATCGGCTTTGGGTCCCTTTCATGCACCATCAATCGAGAGAGAGAAGTGGGAGACTTCATCTGGGGTTAAACTTTTGGCCAAAATGGCTTAAAATATAGATTTATAACATTTATTTTGTTTAAATCACACGTAGGTCCCCTAATTAAGTTAGCCGCATTTTTGCATTTTGGTCACCTGAGAGGACTAAATATGATATTTCCCCTTTTCTATTTGTACTCAGGGTATTATTTTCCCTTTTTCATGTGTGTTATGTGTTAATTGGTATATTTTCTGTTTAGCCCCCCATAGTTTAGCAAGTTTTTACACTTCGGTCACCTGCGAGGACCAAATCTATTATTTACTCCTTTTTCGTGCATGTTGCATATTTATTGGAATATTTTCTATTTAATCCCTATTATTTAAGAGTGTTTTTGTATTTTGATCATATGTAGTGATTATTGTAAGTAGTGTTTAAGTTAAACTCTTCTTCCTAATTTATCTCTAAAACTACTTCTTAATTTGTAGAAAAAATGACTCCTATTTCATCTAGGTCTCTAATTCATGTGTATAAAAAGCCTATGTACCCTCTTATGTAAGATGTAATTATTCTTTGAATAAAAATAATTTCAGAATCAAAAACCCTGTTTACCAATCGAAAAACTCTGTTTACCAGAGTTGGAAAATACTTTTACCAGAGCTAGAAAACTCTGTTTACCAGATTCAGAAAACTCTGTTTCTACATGGTATAAGATGCTGGAGTCGATCCTAGCCTTGTTGCCACCGCCGTTTGTCATCCCTCCGATCAGTAGTGTGCTTCCAGTACACTGCCTTCATCCCAATCGTGAATATGTGATCAAACTGTTGTATCCATCACCGCACCAAATCCCTTCTCTGAAGTCCGTCACGAAGAAAGTCGCTACTCTATGATGCTTCCGCCATCCGTTGAAAGTTCTTCCTTGAATACCTATTCCTCCGGTGACATCCGTGTCAAGAAAGGTTGTCCCTAGTGCGATTACTGTCGAAAACCTGGTCATGTTCGTGATAAATGTTGGAAACTACATGGTCGTCTGGCCAACTGGACTCTATCGAAATCCTAATTGCGGCCATCCCATAGTAACTTTGTTGTAACAACATTGGAAAGTGGTTCCTTTTCTCGTCAACAATTGGACAATCTACTATAGATGTTTGGTCATTTACAATTCCTCCTGCTACTGAGCCCAAGTCTGTCTGCACTGTTAGAGAAGGTAGTTCTCCTTTTGTCTCCTTATCCCCTTCACCCGGATGTGTCTCTTGGATTGTTGATTCTGGAGCAAGTGATCATATGACGGGTAGCTTTAATTTATTTTCAACATTTCACAAAAATGGTATCTCATGCAGTGTTCATACTGCTGATGGCTCCCAATCACCGGTTAAGGGCAGTGGCTCAGTTCGCATTAATAGCCACATTATTTTATCTAATGTTCTATTTGTTTCAAGTTTGACTTGCAATCTTCTTTCGATTAGCAAATTATCTACTGATTTGGGTTGTACTTCTCATTTTACTCATGATCATTGTGAATTTCAGGATTTGACTTCGGGGATGGTGATTGGCAATGCTAGGCGCCGTGGTGGACTCTACATCCTTGATGCTCCTCCTTATGCTCTCGTTCCAAACCACTCACCCACACTATTTATCTATTCATTTGTTCCAGTTTCTTCTATAGATGCAGCTGCCGACATGGTGTTATGGCATTTTAGGTTAAGTCACCCAAGCTTTCCTTATCATGTAAAATTATTTCCCAAATTATTTATTAATAAAAATTCTGCGTCGTTTTCTTTTGACATTTATTCTCTTACAAAACACATTCAGAGCTCTTATCCTCCTTCTCCTTCCCGCTCAGCTAAACCTTTTTCCTTAATTCATAGTGATATTTAGGGACCTTCACGGGTTACGGGTTTACATGGAATTCGTTGGTTTATTACTTTTATTGATGACCACTTTCGTACCACTTGGACCTTTCTTATGAAGGATAAATCTGAGTCTTGTATCATCTTCAAACGATTCCAAAAAATGGTTGAAACACAATTCCAAAGTTCCATTGGCATACTTAAATTTGATAATGGTGGGGAATACCTCTCTCATTCGTTGGGATCTTTCTTCCAAGAAAATAGAATAGTCCATTTCACTTCATCTGTCGACACTCTATAATAAAATGGGGTCACCGAACGTAAAAATCGTCATCTTCTTGAGGTAACCCGAGCACTCCTTTTTTCTTATAATGTTCCAAAATACCTTTGGGGTGAGGCTCTCTTAATAGCTACTTTTCTAATCAATCGTTTGCCTAGTAAAATTCTTTCCATTAGAAAGGTTATCGTTGCTACTCATAAGTCTAAACTTGATCCTCGGGCAATTCAGTGTGTCTTTGTTGGTTATTCATTCCATCAAAAAGGTTATCATTGCTACTCTTCTTTTACAAAACGATTTTTCACAACTATGGATGTCACTTTTTAAGAACATAAAATGTTCTTCTAAAAAACCAAAATCCAGGGAGAAAGTGAGTCTAAATTTTAATTTTTACAAATTATTACTGAGTTACCTATCAGTCCATCTTCTACTGAAAACTGCCACTCCACA